GCTGCTGCGCTGGGTATTCGTATCTTTGGTGAGCGTCCGCTTCCCGTAGAAAATTGCCACGCGCTCCACAGTGCCCCCCAGGTCCTGCGCTTCCCACTTCAAGAAGTTCCCCAACTCCCAAATCTTTCCCACCCCCGGCGCGCCCCCCTTACAATCTTTGCCAATCCCAGATTTTTTCCGACCCCATCGCTTTCCATTGCAGCTCTTGCTCAACTCCAGAGCCCCTCCTAACCCGAGCGCTTTCCATCGGATGTCATTCCTGGCGCCAAAATCCTTTCCGACGCCGGCGCTTTCCATTTTAAATCTTAGCCGATTCTGGATTTTTCCCCAGCCCCCGACCCCCAGCCCCCAAACCCGGCGCGTTCCACGCGCAATCTCACCCTTGTTCCACCGCCCCCAACTCTGGCGCTCCGCGCGAACAGCTCTCCACAATTCCCAAAGCTTGGTCAGGCCCAGCGCTTTCCATATCGAACTTCCTCAAGTTCCATCACCCTTCCCAACCCCAGCGCGTTTCGTCATTCCCAAACTCGGCTTATCCAGGCAAAATCTCCTTCATCTCCACAACCCCCCCTACCCCCCCCTACCCCTGCGCTTTCCACATCGGGCCCCCTCATTTCCACGGCGCCTTCCAGCCCCGGCGCCCAATCTCCCAAACCCGCCCATCTCCCAAACCCGCCCCATGCCCGGCGCCTTCCACTTAAAGTCTACCCCAATCCCAAAACCCTCCCCAACCCCAGCGCTCTCCATGTCGAACCCCCCCAATGCCAGAATCCTTCTCAGCCCCCAGTGCTCCCGCTGCAAATCGCCCCCATTTCAGAATCCTTCCCGCCCCCGGCGTCTCAATTTCACATCATCCCCACATTCGCAAACCTTCCCCGCCCGGGCGTTTTTGTTTCCAATTCCCTGTTGCAGAATTTTCCCCGAACCCCGCGATCTCCATTCAGAGTCAGGCCTAAGTCCCAAAGCCTCCCCAACTCTAGCGCTGCCCATTTATAGTACCCCCCCGCCCGCGCCCCCAACTCTCACATCCTTCCCAAACGCGGCGCGTTCCCTCACAAACCTATCCAACCCTTCAGATCCCTTCCAACTCCAGCAATATCCGTTCCCGACCCGTGACTGCTTCCGAACCCCTGCGGCTTCGATTTAGAATCCCTACCAATTCCGAAACCCTTCCCGTGCCCTTGCGCCTTGTTTTTTTTAGACTTCTCATCTCCTAGCCTCCCAGTCCTGGCGCCGTCTTCATTAACCCCCCCCACGCCCCCAATCCCCCCCAAACCTCAACGCCTTCCATCATAGACCAAGTCCTTCCCAAACCCTGCGCGTTCCGTTTCCAAATCCGAGAATCTAATGCAACAAATCCAAATGTTTCCGTCCTGAACCTCTCCCAACGCAGAAATCTGCCCCAATCGCTGCGTTTTCCATTCGAAACCCTCATAGTTCCGCAGTCCTTCCCTGCCCCGGCGCTTGCCATTTAGACTCCCCCATCTCCAGAACCCCCCAGCGCCCTGGCTTGTAATTTGGAACCCCCCTCAACCCCACGTTCCAACCTAACCCCGGCGCTTTCCAGTAAAAGCCCCCCCAATTCCAAAATCCCACCCGATCCCAGGCTTCCGATTCAAGTTTTTGCTCGAGTTCAGGGTGCCCCCCGAAACCGGCGCTGTCCACGTTGCATCGTTCCTTTCTCTTGTGCCCCCCACTCGCCCGAGCGCCTCCCGCGCATCATGTTTCCCAGGTGCAAAATCCCTCCCAGCCCCGGCTTTTTCAATTTAGAATTCCCCCCATAATTTTTACCAACCCAGTGTTTACCTTTCACTCCGCAGCCGTTCCCAGTCGCAGCGCTGTCCATATCAAACCCTTCCCAGCTCCAAATTCCATCGCAACTCCTGGTCACTCCGTTCAAAATTGCCCCCAATCCACAATTCCCCTCGAACCCAGTGCTTTCCATTCAATCTTTTCCCACCGTCAAACATCCATCGCTGCCCCAGCGCTTGCCATTGCAAATCCCCACAACCCCCAAACCATCCCCATGCCCGAGCGCTTTACGTTGAGAGTCCCACCCAACTCCCAAATCCTTCCCAAGGCCAGCGCTGCCCGTTTTAATCCCTTCTCAGTTCCAAACGTCTTTCCCCGGCCCAGCGCGCCTCATGAACAAATTCTCCCAGCTCAGAACTCCACCCCAACCCTGGCGCTTGCCATTCGAAACCATTCCCAACTCCAGAATCCATCCACAACTCTATCGCCCCCTGGCGCTGTCAATTCAAAATCATCACCTAATTCGACTCGTCACCAATTCCACAAAACTTCCCAACGACGGCGCCGTGCATTGAACGTCCTTTCCAATTCCTGAATCTCCCCACCCCCTCGAACCCCAGTGCTCTACATGCAAAGCCCTCAATTCCAAAATCTTGCCCAGCCCGGCGACTTCCGCGTTGAACCCAAATCCGTTCCAGTCCCAGCGCCATCCATTGGGCACCCGCTTCGAGCGCAGCGCTGTCAACGTTTCATCTTCCTCAACCTCAAATCCCTTCCCACCCCCCGCGCATTCCATGCAGAATCTTTCCCAATTCCAGAATCCAGCGCGTTCCGCGCGAAATCCCTCCAATGCCCCGAAATCTCGTCGCGAGCCCTTCAAAGCCCGCCCCAATTCCAGAATCGTTGCCAACCCCGCGTTTTCCTTCTCAAAATGTTTCCCAACTCCAAAGTCCCCCCCTGCCCTGGCGCGCCACCGCCAGCATCCCGACCCCAGCGCTTTCTATTTTAAATCCCTTCAACTTCAAATGAAATGCCTTCCTCACCCCGGCACTTCCATGAAAACCCGAAAACCCATTCCCCTCCCATATCCTGCCCACCCCCAGCGTCTTCCACTTTTAACCCATCCCACTTTCAACCCTGACGCCTTCCATTGAAGGTCTTTCTCAATGTCAAACATAGTTCCAAGTCCGAAATCCGCCCCAACCTCGGCGCTTGCTATTTTAAATGCGCCCCAACACCAAACCCCTTTCCCAGCCCGAGTGCTTTCTATTTACTGTTTTCCCCAGCGCCAGACACCATCCCAACCCCAGCGCCTTCCATTAAGATATTCTTCGCGAGTCCAAAATTCTTCCTAAGCCCAGCGATTTCCACGTGAACTGCCTTGTTGTGGTTGATGGCGTCAGGCTGCCTAAAGGCGCCCTCGTCCGAAGGCCGAGAAAAGTAGTACGGGGTCAAGGAGAAACAGCCCTAGAGCAACCTCGTGGCCACCCTGGGGCGGAATCAACTTAGAAAAGGCTCGGCAGGGCAGCGGCCACCGCACTTCCGGACCCCCGTCAGTGCGCAAGGGGGGGATACCCCACAGGGGTATCAGCAACGCGCTGATAGGACATGAAAGGGGCACGCTTCGGTGCCAGCGGGAATTATATTATACCAACCGGATTTGGGCGAGCCTCCGGAGAAGAGGACAATGACGAGCAGGAGAGGCCCCCCCCTTCCTAGCCGTAACCTTACGCGTGCCGCCTCGGCAGACAGCAACGGCGGGTTCCGCGCACCTTCTGCCCAGGCTCCCCCCCGGAAGGGAGCCAGCAATCAGGTGTCGGCAGAAATCGCGCACCAATGCCGTGAGCTGAAGCAGGGCGCAGGGAGGGCAAGAAGCGTCAAGGTACCCCGTGCGCAAAGGAGCGGGGCGCATCGCACGGCCCTGCCCCAAGGGCCCGGGATCCCGAACCCGGAGTCTCAACGGCAGGCCCTCTTCTGGCCGCCGGCGACAGGGCGAAGCCCCCGTGCGTGCACGCCCCCTGCCCCGCAGTGGAGGCAAGGGCCGTCTCCCGATGCCGCTGAGCGACTCGCGCTGCGCAGGGTCCCGGCTCTCCGGAGTGGTGTAGGGGATTGGGCGCCGCGTAATGGGGGGGTCATAAATAGGGGGGTGGCGAGCGTGGTCCGAAAAGGTACCCAAACGGTACCTAAACGAGCCCCCTGGGGCACTGGAGGGGCCCGAAAGGGGCACGAAAGGGGACCTTTTCTGACCCCCCCGTCTATGACCCCCACGTTAAGCCACGCCCGAAGGGGAGTGGGGCATTGGCGTGCCTGCCCGCGGCCGCTCCGCTTGCGCCGAACCGCACGTCCCAGCTGCCCAGGACGCCCCCATGTCAACTGCCTCCCAACTCCAAAGCCCTTCCCAACACCAGCGGCTCATTTATCAGGAGCGAAACAAGGACGTACATGTACATGAATCCACGCTGGTTTCGAGAGCACGCCTTGCACAAATGTTCGTATAACGCGGCGGGTCTCGCGAATCGCGGGGCCGTGTTCATGTACATAGCTGGGCGCGTACGTCCTTTGTGGGCTCCCTAATTTAAGAGTCTTTCGAATTTCCAAATCCATCCCAACCCAAGCCCTTTTCACTCAAAACCCTTTGCAGCTTCTGACTTCTTGCCAACGCCTGCACTTGTGCATCTGCATGCGCCTATGCACGCGTTTGCAATCATTCCGAAAGTCAGGCGCGACCATTGCATTACCCACTACCGGCACAAGTGTTCAGGGGCTTCGTCCGATAATACTACATGTAGCTCGAGTGCTCAAGTTTTCTCCTCCACTTCGCCGCGTGCCGTTCAACACAAATCCTCATATGAGCCTCATATGAGCTGCGAGCTGCGAAGCAGTTGGCCAGGTCATCCTCAAGGTCCGAAGTCGCGATGGGCCTCGTGGTTTGCGCTTGGCCGAAGTTCCATCGTTCTAAGACAACCCAGTATAAGAAACATGACGCTCGTTATTGGGCTGGCATGAACCCATCCACCCACCCACCAACATACTTGCTTGATCGCTTTGAATGAAACATCGGGTCGTTCAGCGCTTTGATTGAATGAATGCCCCCCGCTCCATGAGCTGGCGGTGGAAGCGCCCGGGGGGCGAAGAGGCAGCGCCTAACAGACACCATTGCCAGTAGATCGAAGCTCGAAGGAGGAAGTTGGGATGAGGGTGGAGGTGAAGGAAGAGGAGCACCCCAATCGTGCCTCTCCCGTTGTCAGGCGCCGCCCGCGCGCCCGACCGACGACACGCACCGCTCGTCGAGGCGACGTGCGGCCGCGAGGCCCGCGTCGGTCGGTCGTCGTCGCCGCCGCCGCCGTCACCGCCGCCGCCGCCGCCGTCGTTGCAGGTGCTGGCGGTGGCGCCAGCGTGGTCGGCGTCGTTGCTGTCGCCGCCCTGGTCGACGTGATCGCCTTGTCCGTCGTGTTCGGCGACGGCGTCGCCGTCGGCGTGGTCGTCGTCGCAGTCGCCGTTGTTGGCGTCGTCGTGGTCGTCCGCGTCCGCGGCGTCGCAAGTGTGGCCGTCGATCGAGTGTCGATCGAGGCGCGAGGGGCAAGGGTCGTGGGTCCCACACATTTCCCTGTGGCCCTAATCGGCCCACTGCAGGCTTCGACCTCCAAGGACCTTTTGGGCTTTGTCGGCGTCGGGTCGTCGTCGTCCTCGTCGCTCGAGGGGTTCGAGGATCGAGGACTTTGGACGTCTGGCCGGTTCAGATCTGATGGATCTGGAAGTTTCCAGGAGCCGCTTGGGATTCTGGGCCTGGACCTCTGGGGGCGTCCAGGGACTTCAGGAGGCATCTGGTCATTGTCGGCATCGTCGTCTGGCGTTTCTGGGCGGTTGCCGTTGTGAAGTAAGGTTCGATGCGGGCAAAAAATTGGCCGTGATGGACCGCGGGACGGGGGAGGAGGAGCATCTTGGGAGCTTCTGGGGGCACTCTTGGGGCCTCCTGGGAGCTTCCTAAGGCCTTTTGGAGGCCTTTTGGAGGCCTCGTGGGGGCCGCCTGGGCCTCTTGGGGGCCGTTGGGGGCTTCTTGAGGGCCTTTTCGGCCGTTTTAGGGCGTCCGTGGCTGGCCTGACGCCGTCGGAAGACGTCTTGGGGGCCTCTCTGCACCGAGGTTCGGCCCTCCTGGGGTCTTCTGAAGGCCATCTCGGACGTCTTGTAGGCCTCTTGGGCCGTCTTGGGGCCCTCTTGGGGCCGCCTTGGGGCTTTCTTGGGCCGTGATGGGGCCATCTTGGAGGCCTTTCTGGCGATCTTTGGGCGACTTTGGGGGCCTCTTGGACCGTCGGAAGGCCGAACTCCTTCACAAAGGAAACTATCATGATTTTGGCCTCTTCGGGTCCTCCTGAAGGACCTCTTGGAGGCCTCACGGGCCGTCTTGGAGGCCTCTTGGAGGCCCCTGGGGCTGCTTTGGGCCATCTTGGGCTGTCGTGTCGGCTTCTTTGGCGGACCTGGAGAAATCTTGGACCCTCTTGGACCGTCTTGGAGGCTACATTGGATCATCTTGGGCGAACTTGGAGGCCATCTTGGCCGTCTCTTGTCCGTCTCTAGACCCTCTTGGGCGCCATCCACGACCTGGAAACCCACGACCTGTACAATTCCGATGGCTTTCCGATTGGCCGGCGCGTTGGAAAAGAACCAAAACAAAAAGCCGTAGGGTTCAGCACGCCAAGCACTGTAATACATCAACAGTGGGGCGGCGGATTTCATGGCTTTCGGCCCATCCTTCCACCGTGCCTAGGTTGTGGGTATCAAACCCAATGCTTGCTCGTTGGGGTCTTGTGTGGGGCCTTTGGGCACCGTTTTGGGGCCGTCATGGGGCCTCTCTTGGCCTCACTTTTGAGGTACTCATGATTATCCTTCTTTGATTGCTACCCCGATGTTGACGGTTGCTCCCGCGACTTCACTGACAGTTACTCCAGATTTCGTAATAAAAGGGAGGGGGTCTCAACCCTCCCAGATGAGAAGTTTTAGACCCCCCCCGTGGGAGAACCCTCCAAAACAACGTCCCCAGACCCCCCCAGGCCCTCCAAGACAGCCTGGAAGAGACCCCCCCCCGAAATGAGACCCCCCTCCCTTTCTGACGAAATCTGGCGTACCCTTTCCTCTGTACCGTCCTCCACGGGGACTGAGACGGCGGCCCCCAGCGTTGCGACTTCGTCTGGGCCGGGCCCCGTTGCAGCGCCCGCGACTCCGAGCCCCCTCTCGACCTCTTCGGATCGCCTCTCCCAGAATAGTTTCCTCGGGCCTCCCGTGGCTCCGCAGGGTCCTGCGGAAACTCCGCTAACTCTTTTCCGTCTTCGGCCCCGAGAGGGGGCCCTTTGGGTGGCCCGAGTCTTTTTTTGAACTCTCGAAGTCACCTGGAGAGGCTTCGCTTGGTTAAGGCCGTCCCCCTCCGCGGCTTGGACCCCTCCCTCCCGTTTCTTTTCTCTCTCCTCCTGGGCCCCTTGGGGCGGCCTCCTGGTCCTTGCCCCTCTCTGCCTGCCCGCGGCCTCCGTCCTCGGGGTTTCGACGTCGACGGAGCTTGTCAAGTTTACCTCCCAATTTTGCCTCGATCCAACGGCCCAGCCCTGCATTTCAAGCGTTGGGCCCTCCAGACGATGTAGGGGGTGGGTGGGGGCCTGCGTGCACCGAGTGCCATTTGTGACGAGAATCGTCTCGTCTCCGCACCCTCTAGATGCGAGTCGGCTACGAAGCGGGACGCAGTTGCCTCAAGCCAGCATGGATCTGCAGAACCCGCTGACACGCCTTTGCAGAGTCGCTCGTTCGCTCATTAGATCAAGGGGCCTCTCTCGGGTTTGCTCTCCGGCTCAGCGGGGAAGCGCCAGCGGGGGATCAGGGGGGCTACAGGTATTGGCACACAGTTTCGAGCGCTTGAGTCGCCAGGGGTGGCCAATAGAGTTGTTTTAATCGTTCCCGTATTGGTTTGAAATCGAAGCAATATTGTGGGATGGCGATCATGCAATGCCGAGCGGGGGCTCACGCATCAGCGCCCTGGGCGATTGTTAGTACATATGGGGTTCCAGCCCCGCTCATGGGCGTCTTAGTCATCGTCTTCTGTTTTCCACTATACAGGCACGTATGTATACGCCAACCAATAACCAATCAAAGGGGGGGTACCGATGACGATGATGATAACAGTTACGATGATGATGCTTATGATGATGATTCTGATGATGATGATATTAATGATGATGACGGTGACGATGACGATGCGAATGATGATGCTGAGGATGATGAAGAAGAAGATGACGATGCTGGGGGTGATGATCGTGATGCTGATGCCAATGCCAATGTTGGTGATGCTGGTGACGGTGATGCTGATGATGATGGTGATGATGATACTGATGGTGGTGATGCTGATGATGACGATGATGATGATTATGATGGTAATGGCGATGATGATACTGATGATGCTGATGATGCTGATGCTGATGATGATGATGCTGATGCTGATGATGCTAATGCTAATGGTGAACATTGTGATACTGATGGTTTTGATGATGCTGATGCTGCTGCTGCTGATGATAATGCTACAGACGCTTCTGGTGATGATGGTTTGTGGTTGATGGTTGGCGGGTGGTGGTTGGTGATATGGTGGATGGCGATTATTGATGAATGATGGTGGGTGATGGATGGTTGATGATGGTGATCTTGGTGGCGGTGGTGGTGGCGACGATGAAGAGGAGGACGAGGACGAGGGCTCCGTGTCGGCCGGGCCGCCCCTTCGTCGTAGGGGCGCCCTCCCGGGGCACAGGCCGCTACCTTCGAGCTCGGGGGCCCTGGCGAGCTGACGGAGGCGCTAAGCCCGGGAGTGCGGGAGCGGGGGTGGGGGGCAGCCTTGGGTTGAGCGCTCGGCAGAAGTGGGGTTTTCGCTTACATTCGCGCGCAAGCTGCCCGCATGAGGTCGCGAGTGGGCGCCCTCGTTTTCCAATGCAGCGTGCCGTGCTGGCGGCCCGCGCAAGCCACCGTGAAGAGGTCGCTACGTCATTTCGCGCAAGACCTTTATAATTTCGTCGCTTATGTAGCCTTGAACGGCCCCTGCACTGAGCTGCCACCGCGGGCAAACGGGGATGGAAAGGTGCAGTCTGTGCTTATCGTGGAACAGGCAGTGGCATCAACATCTGTGGATTTGGGCGGGAACCCTCTCTCTCGGATTTGTGCTGGAACCCGTTGGCGGCGCCTATGGCGCGGCCCCTGGCGCGCTCCGCACGCCAGGGATGGGGTCCAGCGTCGACCCAAGTAATCTGCGCGGACCTCCAAAAGTTCACGTTTATGCCTTTGATTGTTCCTCGACCTCATTTCCTCCCACTTTAGAGCGAAAATTCGGCTCGAGGAATGAGCATCGTACCGCGGCCTGGGCCGGAGAGCCACCCTTCCGAGGTGGCGGCGCAAGGGCGCCGAGATTCTCGCGCGCCACACATCTCGGTTGGCGCGACGCGCGAAGCTCCGCTTCCGACGAGAGGTGTGTTCGAAGGTGTTGATGATATTGATCGTATGCTGCTGTTGGTGGTGATGGTGTTGATGGTGGTAATGATGGTGATGCTAGTTTTGATGATGCTGCTGCTGCTGATGATGATGATGCAGATGATGATGCGGATCGGTGAGACGACGGTGATGACGATGATGATGGTGATGGCGCTGCTGCTGATGATGTTGGTGGTGCGAGTGACGATGAGGATGATGATCATGATGATGGTGATGATGATGATGATGATGATGCTCATGATCATGCTGATGCTGATGCTGATGCTGATGCTGTTGATGCTGCTGATGGTGATGATCAGCGTTATGATGATGACGATGATGGTGGTGATGGTGATGCTGATGCCAATGATCATGTTCCTGATTATTAGGATGATGATGATGATGATGATGATGATGATGATGATGATGATGATGATGATGATGATGATGATGATGATACTGATGGTGATCATGGTGATGATAATGATACGGATGCTGATTATGGTGACTGCTGATGATGATGATGATGATGATGATGATGATGACGATGCTGATGCTGATGTTGGTGCTTATGCTGATAATAAGTTTTATGATGCTGATGACGGTGGTGATGATTACGATAATGATTGCGACGATGTTGATGGTGATGACGATGATGCTGAGGGTGATGGTGTTGGTTATTGTGATGGTGATGGTGATGGTGATAAGGATGGTATGGTGATGGCGAGTGCGAGGGTGATGATGATGGTGATGCTGAGGGTGACGATGATGATGATCAGGGTGAATATGGATGAATATGACGATGACGATGTTGATTCTGATGTTTATGATGCTGGTGATGATTATGATTATGAGGGCGATGATTATGCTGATGATGTTGATGATGCTGATGATGATGATGATCATGAAGAAGGTGGTGGTGGTGATGTTGTTGTTGTTGTGCTCTTACAGTGCGCTTGTCTACACGAGCTTATGACAGATCAGGTGCAAGCTCGGGCGGCACTCGCCTACACCGCTCAGAGTGGCCTCGCTTTGGAAGACAGCATCTCCACAGCACCGCAGGTGTTGTGGATTTTTGAGTCCTTCGGGTGCCTTTGCGAGGTTCTTCGTGCACTTCAGATTTCTCGGGCCGCCTCCAGAGGAGGGAGTGAGGGGTAGGGAGCAGGGAGGGAAGTGGGAGGGAGGAGGCAGTAGGTGCAACATTCATAGCAAGGATGCGTAGCTCTCCGAGAAGTGGGGATTCTCCAGTGGCGGTCGGGGGTCCGCCGCGTGGCACGATTGACTTTCGAAGTGCAGCGTTGACCGGAGACAGAAGCAGAGAGAAAGCGAGAGAGAGAGAGAGAGAGAAGGAGGGCTGGGGAGGGAAGGAGGAAGGGAGGGAAGGAGGGAGGAACGGCGAGAGAGGAAGCGACCGGCAGTCCCAACAGTGTGGAAGGACGACCCCCTATGACGCCGTGGTGGCGCCCTCTGTTTTCTGGGGGGGACAGCAACAACATCTACCAGACCACCCCCCTGACAGTCTTGTTTCTGCCCCCCCCTCCCCCCAAAAGCTCTCTGGAAGAAGCCTCACGGCCTCTCGTGATAACCTCGCGGTTTTTGGGCGTGTTTCTGCACATCTTCGGCACGTCCCAACCAGCAGCTTGGAATGGCGCCCCCCATGCCGCCGTGACAGCATCTGTGTGTGTGTGTGTGTGTGTGTGTGTGTGTGTGTGTGTGTGTGTGTGTGTGTGTGTGTGTGTGTGTGTGTGTGTGTGTGTGTGGGGGGGGGGGGGGGGGGGGGGGGGGCGCGTGGGTCACTTTACAACCAGAATGCCACTTTACATCCGAGCTGGGGCACTTTACAACCAGCATGGATGGTAATGTTCCCAGAAGGGCACTTTCTAATCAGGAAGGTCGCTTCACAACCCGGCAACCAAGCGTACATTAACGACACACGCGCTTAAATTTCCGAAATCTCCGTGGGGCCAAATGAGAGGCACATCTCGGTATCTGAAGCGTGTTAGACGTAAAGTGCCTCGTCTGAAGCAAAAATATGTAAAGCAGCGGATTCCGAATCCATTCAATCGGAGTCTTACTGTAATCATATTTGTACATTTCCGAGCGTGATCCTATTGACACCAGACGAGCCCATTGGAATTGAATCGTGTTCGTTGCAGGATAATGATCGGAATGAGAAGGAGAAATGATGAAGGAGGAGAGTATCGGAGACGAAGGGAGCGGAAGCTCTCAGAAGCTTTAAAAGCCTCTGTAGAGCGCTCAGAAGCTCCAGAAGCTTCTGCAGAGCGCTCACGCGCCCACAAGCTGAGAAGCCTGTACAACGCGCTCAAGTGCTCACAAGCTCAGAAGTTTTTGCAAAGCGCTCAGAAGCTTTAGAAGCCTCGACAAAGCGCTCAGGCGCCCGGAAACCTCAGAAGCCCCTGCAGAGCGCACAGGCGCTCTGTAATTTTGGAAGCCTCTGCAGAGCGCGCAGGTACTCAGAAACCTCAGAAGCATCTGTAGAGCGCACGGGCGCTCAGACACCTCCGAAGCCTTGACAAGGGGTTCGGGCGCTCGGAAGCCCCAGAAACCTTTGCTGAGTGCTCAGAGACCTCCGGCGCCAATGCAGAGCGCTCAGAAGCCCTGAAGCCTCTGCGGAGCGCACAGGCACCCAGACACCTCTGAAGCCTCTGCAGAGCGTTCAGGTGCTTCTGAGCGCTGGTTGTAAAGTGGCCGCTTTGGTTGTAAAGCGCACCGTCCGGGTTGCGAAGCCGATTTTCCTGGTTCTGAAGGGGTTGCTCTCAAGAGGAACATCATATGAGTTGATATTTTGCTGGTGGTTGTATAGTGGCCCATCTCGGTTGTAAAGTGTCGTTCTGGTTGCAAAGAGACCCAATCTCGGGGAGGGGGGGGGGGAACATTTTGCAATGCACATACATATCGGCCATACTCCCCCTTGGCCGTGTGCCCCCCACCACCCACAGGCTTCTCGAAGAAGCCGCAGGGCCTCCTGTGAGAACTTCGTGGCTTCTGGGAGTAATTCTGCGCATCGTCGGCACGTCCCAGCCAAGAGTCTGGAAGGACGCCCCCCATGCCGCCGTGGTGGCACCTTTCGAATGGAGTGTGGTGGGGGATGACAAGCATTGTCATACCCCCCCATTGGCATTCCCCCCCCTTCAAAATCACAAACAAGGCCTCTAGAAGAAGCCTGAGGGCCCCTCGAGACAACCTCGCGGCTTCTGAGGGTGTCTTCGCGCATCCGCGGCATATCCCAGAGCCCGTGGGGCCAGCCCCGGAGCCTTTGGGAGAGACGCCAGAGCTGTTTGGTGATATTTCTTTTTTAGGAGGTGCCTCAAATCATCGCACAGGGGATGAACCATATGGGGGCCACTGCTGGATGTACTGGAGCTTGTTGGGCAAGACTGTGGGAGAACCTGGTGAGATGTCCTGGGCCTTTTGGAGATGCCCCCGAGCTAATCGGATTAATCTCGTGGGCCTTGTGCGAGGAAATGCTTTGCATTAGTTGGTCATGCTTGGCACTGTTTGGCATGGAGTGGTCGTGCTGGGCGTTGCTTGGCGTTGGTTGGTTGTGCTTCTTGGTTGTGCTTGGCATTGGTTGGTCGTACTTGGCATTGCTCGGCATTGCGTGATCATGCTTGACTTGCTTGGCATTTGGCATTGCTTGGTCGTGCTTGGCATTGAATGGTCGTGTTTGGCATTGCTTCGGGTTGCATGAACGTGTGCGGCATTGGGCGGTCGTCTTTTGCATTGTCTGAGATTGGTTGGTCATGGCGGGCATTGCTTGGCCGTGCTTGGCCTTGGATGGTCGTGCGTGGCATTGCTTGGCAGTGGTTAGTCGTGCTTGGCAGTGTTTGGCATTGAGGTCGGTCGTGCTTGGCATCGGGGCCTCGGCTAGCCCTAGGCATTCCTGGACGCCGCCGGTGCGGAACGTGACGTAATCTGGGGCGGGTGGGGCGGCGGCTATCCCGGAAAATGAAAAAAACAGGCTCCAAGGGGAGAGGGAGGAGGGAGAGAAGGAGGAGTTGGAGGGAGGGCGAGGAGTGCGGGAGGATGCAGGGGGCGAGGAGTGAGGCAGGTCGGGGACGAGGAGCGCGGGAGAACGAGGAGCGAGGCAGGGCGTCATCGCCGCCGCCACGAGGCGGAGTGGCAGGAGGGCCGGGACCACTTCGTGTTCGTCGGCACGCTTTTCGACCACGTCGTCGTGGACTGTCCCCCTGGCCGGGTCGTCGCCGGGCCTGGCTCGACGGGGGGTCTCTTTACCACATCGTTCCACACCCGTCCTCCCTCCTCGTCGTCGCTCCTTGCGCTTCTCCTCCCTCGTTGCCATCTCCTGCTCTGCCTCCCTCCCGCCTTCGCCCTCCTCCGCCCGCCCGCCTCCACAATGAAACAACATGTTTACTACTCTCCTCTTCCTCAGACTCCGGGCTCTCGGCGTCCTTTTTTGTGACAACCGCGTCGCGTATCATCACTTTTTATGCTTATTCCTGTTTTACAATTCTTGGCGCGTCGCGGATCCCCACCAGCCCATCCAAAGCCAACGCCCAGGCGACTTGAGACGATCATGGAAGCGTAGAAGCAACACTGGGGACGGCGGAGGAGGAGGGGGGGAGGAGGAGGAGGATGAAGAAAATGAGGAGGAGGAGGAGGAGGAGGAGGAAGAGGAGGGGCCCGTAGCAATTTTGGCTCAAGCAGTTTTGGATAAAGTGGCCATTTTCTCAGGGTGGTTGAGTCATCCCGCGAGTGCGGGGGTTCCTCCAGGTGGCTTCCAGGTCTGGGCCCCCTAGTTTTGCGTGCAGCATGCCCAAGAAGGGCAACAGGAGCCATGTGTGGAAATATGTTTGGGCGTGTCCTAACCAACGGTGCAACGTCAAACATAACAAAACGAGTGGAGGGGCACGTGCTGGGCTTGTGGAACTCAGAAACCCAAGGCTCCAGGGGTGGTGTTGCCTCCTGCTCTTGGTGGCGTTTGGGGCAAGCGTACGCTCACGGATAAGGAGTTTGCCTCGTGGGTGCAGCTCGATGACCCACCTTCCGCTCCTTCATGCCGTCCCTCCTCGCAGTCTCATCGGGGCAAGCTTTTGCACCGCCGTGCGGTGGCAGCGGCGGGGCTGGCGGAGCCCGTCGTGTTGGCAGTGGAGGCCTCGCAGGACGTCGGGACTCTTTCCAGCCAGTTGTTTGCGGTCCGCACTCGGCTCGAGAAAGCGCGGACGTCGGCGCAGGAGGCGCTCGCCTATGTGGTCGCAGTCGAGGATGAGGTTGCGGAGCTCCAGGAGAAGTGCGACTCTGCCCGCACTCGGGCGGCGGGGCGTTGGCCGTTCGTGGCCAGGGGGCCCAGGTTGCCCGGGTCCAGCAGGCGAGTCTTGCACTCGACGGCGCAGTGGGCGTGCTCGCGGCGCAAGGCGGCCAGGCGGCGCAGCTGGCGCAAACCCTGGGCGCCGTCCAGCCTTTGCTCGCGGCCATGGGGGCGCAGCAGGCGCCTGCCGTGCCGCCCGCGGCGCCAGCCCCAGCGGGGGCAGCGGGTGGTGCGGCCTTGCCACAGGCGCAGCTGCCTGAACAGCAGTAACAGTTGGTTCAGGCCCCAGTCGTGCCAAGAGAGCGCGTTTGTTTAGCGTTGCAATCATGGCGGGCGTCCAGGCGGCGCTGCTTGGGATTGCATCGAGCAGGGTGATCGCGACATGCACGCTCCCGCCGCTCAGCCTGCAGGCCGAGTCGAGCATGTCGGCGGGCGAGGGCACGCTGCCCTGCTGGGGCTGGGCGATATGCCCCCGCGCCAGTTGGCAGCAGAAGAGGCAGCAGCGGATAGTGGGCAGACCCGATGGCGCTGCGGCCGCGCAGCCTCTCCCCAGTAGAGGTCGCGTCGACCACGGCGGTTCTGCGCCGTGGCGCTGCTGCTGGCGGACGGCGGCAGCGCGGGTAGCCCGGGGCGGGGATCTCAGGCCCAGGGGGGTGCTCTACGCGACGATCCCTACGGTCGTGGCGACCCAGGCGCTCCCTCGGACCCTCGGCGGCGTCCCCCGTTCCAGGCGCGTCGGGGCCCATGGGAGTCCTTTTCTGCGCCTGCGTCGCAGCCAGGGGTGGCCACCATCGGGTCGGGGGGAATGCTGGGCGGGCTGCTTCGCGGGTCACCCGCGGCTTTTCATGGCGATCGCCACCCGGGCCATCTCTTGTCTGCGTCATTTTTCTTTGGTGGCGCTCGCTGCGGCCGTGACGGCCCTCCTGCTGCCTCCTCTGGCCCTTCGGCGGTGCCCCTCCTGCCGGCCTTCTGGGCCAGCCGCGACGCATCTTGCGGATCCCCAGCTGGGCCGTCCCTCATTGGTGTCGGCTTCATCCGCGGGAGATCGTGGCGGCGCTCAAGGTACGGTGCGCGGTTCGATGCGGCCGGAGCGACTTCGCTGCCCCCTTGCGGACTCCTCGGCGGCGCCCCTCCGGCCAGGCGCGTCGGGGCCTTCGGGGGCCCCCCCGGCGCCCGGGTCGCAGCCAGGGGCGGGCGTCGCCGAGCTGGGGGGGGGGCGACGAGCGGGCGCCCGTTTGGGTCAGCCGCGACGCGCCGCGCAGGTCTTCTGCTGGGCCATCTCCCGGCGGAGGCGCCCTCCGAGGCTGGTCGCGGCGATCGCTGCGACGATAAGAGGAAGGCCTTCACCTCGGCCGCTTGCGACGCCGCCAGCTGGGCCGGCGCGCAGTATTTCTTGCAGGGCGAGGATTGCGGCGACGTCGTCGTAATTCCAGAGTTCATCCCGGCTCCGACTTGCCCCCAGGCAGGCTTAGATGGAGTGCCGGGGCGTCGCCGCCCAGGGGCGCGGGGGGGTGGGGGTGGCTTTCTGGAGGCTTTGCTCTCGCCGCTCGGCCTCGCACTGGCCTCGGAGAGGCTCCGGTTCCCAAGCCCGCTGCCCCTCGCCTTCTGGGCGGGCGAGCTTAGCGCGGTGCAGTTGCCTTGTCGAAGGCGGTCTCATGGTTGCCTCAGTTTAGTTGATCACGGGCGGTGACCTTACGACGCGCCCTCTCTTATCGCGCAGCAGTTGGGGGGGTCGCTCGAGGCTCTGCGTCGGCCCTCTGTTCTGGGGGGCGACTGGGGCGTGGCCCCGCGGGGGTATATTCAGGCGTCTGGTCAGCCTGGGGCTCTCGGGGCGATTGTCGCGGTGCCAGGCGCGCGCGCGCGCGTCGAGGTGCGGGGTCTGTAGGCCAGGGCGAGAAGGACCCCCCGCGGGATCGGGCCCCCGCCGCTGTCCCCGATCAGCATGCCGCGCGCCCTCCGCCTCAGCGCCTGGGCGTCGTGGTGCGTCGACGCGTTGAACGGCTGGCTTCTTGGCTGCGCAACGCGCGCCGCTTTGTGTTCGGGGGGTCTGGGGGCCCGGGGGCGCGGGCGCGGTCGGCGGCCGCGCCTGAGTGGCGGCGCCTGCCCCGCTCGAAAAAGAATGGGAGATCCCGCCCCTATCCTGGCGACCGCTGCATCTGAGTTTGCCTGCGGGAGCGACGCGCATTCTCGCTTTCCCCGGCGCGGCCGCAGCGGCCGCGCTGGGGGGCGTTGCAGGGCGAAGCGCACGCCCGAGAGCGATTTCTGCCAAGCGCCGCCTCACCTTGGCACCCGACTGAGGAGTTTTCGCAGCGCGGACGGGCCGGTCGACGGCGCCCGGCGCGGGGGGCCCGCCGCGGCAACCACGCGGGGCTTTGCCGCGATTGGGATGGCCCCCGCAGTCTTGCGCCAGCCGGGGGCGCAGGTCCCGCGCGGCTTGGGGCCCCTCGGACTTCGGCTCGCCTCCTTCGGGCGCCTCGCGAATGCGGATCCGCTGGCGGCCGGCGCGGGGGCTGGGAGGGGGCGCCGCCGCGCGGGGTTCGCCGGGCGCGCCTGCAAGACGCGCGGAGAGCCTGCGCGGGCCACCTCCGGCGCCCGCGGCCGCGGGCCCTCGCCCGCGCGGGCGCGGCGCCCCCGGCCGTGAATGCTTCGAAGACGAGGCTGCGATGGCGGTCGCCGCCGCGGGCGCGCGCGTGGACCTGCCGCGCGCAGCCTTGGGCCCACTTGCCCGTCTCGCCCTAGCCGCCGCCCGGCGCGCCCCTGACTGAGTGGCGCTGGCCTGCGAGGTTAGGGAGATGCGCGGCGACCGCCGCTGGGCGCCGCCGATCAGCCGGCCGGCCGCGCGGCCGCCGCCGCGGGGCTCGGCGCGCAAGTGGGCGAAGCGGCTTCATAACCCCCCAGGGCCACGTTGGTAACGCGCACTGGTGCCGGGAGCGGGGCGCGCGTTCGCGGCGCCCGCGCGTTCCTGGTGGCGAGGGACCGTCGGGCGCAGCGCGATCGGGCAGTGACTGCCGAGTGATTTGCGCGCGGGATCTCCCCCGACCCGCGTCGCCTCTGGACCTGCATCGGCTGCTGGGAGTCCCGGAGTTCGAGGTCCACGTGCAAATGGGTCTCGAGGTCCATTTCCACATGTGGAATCGGCCCAGCTCGGAACGATTGGAGGGCGCGCTGTTCGCGGACGGCTCTGCCGTCGCTGGGCACCTCTGGGCGTCGGCTGGGCGTGGCGGGCAGCGGTGCAGCGCGACCGCTGGGGCGCCCCTGTTGCAGCTGCTCTCGGGCTTGCGCCGCTGGCAACGTGCCCCGGGCAGCTCGGCCACAACGGAAAGGATTTCGCGATCTGTGCGCTGCCGCGCGCGCCAACGGCGCACCTCGACCTCTTTCGTCGACTGCGCCAGGGCCGCGCCCGCCTTCCTGCGCGAGCCAGGGGTGCCCCGGGCGACGGGCGGGCCCGCGCGCGGGGGCTATGATGGTGCCCCCTTGCGAGCGGCAGCTTCACGGCCACGAGTGTCCCCGCCCGCGCCGCGCATGCTGGCGTCCAGGCCCAGGGGCGCGAAGTCGCCTCTGAAGCTCCAGTTGCTGAGAGCCGCCTCAGCCAAGCTGGGCGGCGCCAGACCACGCGCGAGATGCCCGCGGCGCGGGTCGCCAGGTAGATCGCATCCCCCAGCTTTCAGCGGGGCGGATCGCTGGAGACGAACTGGGGCCCATCAGCGCCGCGGCCGGAAGCGCCTTGTGTCTGTTTTAAGCCCCTGGAGCACCCTGGCTCTCCATCATCCATGCCATCCATCGAGATGGTGTGGATGCCGTTTTCGCGTCTGTAATGTCTGCGTTTGTCTGCGTTTGTCTGTAATGTCTGCGTTTGTCTGCGTTTGCCTGCGTTTTAGATGTAGTATATGATATAATCATAGTATATACAT